TTAGGCTTTGCATTCTGACTGACTGGAATCATTTGTGTTTCATCTCTGTGTACTACTTGTGTGACTTTAATATTGTTAAACTTCCAAGCCTCTATATTTATATAGTGTAGACAACCTACCTCCTAGGGTCATTGTGATGATTAATAAGCAGTTGTCTTTCAGTGTTTTTTTTTTTTTTTTTTTTTTTTTTTTTTTTTTTTTTTTTTTTTTTTTTGTCTTAAATTTTAGTTGGTTTCAATACAAGAGGTAATTTTTATTTCCAGTCAGGAATTAAAACACTTACACACATTCTAAGCTGGAAGAATAGCCTTCACTTTGCAGGACTCAAGAACAACTCACATGTATCTTCTGATCAATGGCAGATTCTAAACCTGTCTTCAGGAAACCTGATTTTGGATTCAGTAAATATCCAGTGAGCCCATCTAAGGAATGTCAAGCACTGGTCTGAGAGGTCAGCAAACCATGGCCTAAGGGCCAAATCTAGTCTGCTGCCTGTCTTTGTACAGCCCGGAAAATGGTTTTTACACATTTTAAAGTTGTAAAACCCTTTATGGGTTGTTTAAAAGCAAACAACAGTAACAAGTGACACAGACAGGATGTAGTTTACAGTCCGGCTCTTTGTAAAAAAAGTTTGATGACCCTAGCCTAGAAGTGTAGGCATAGAAGTAAGCAGGTATACGCATTATGAAGAAACAAAGGCATGAGCTAGAGAAGCAGCAACGTGACCTCACTTTACATGTTTAGGGTGGTCAGAGGGCATCTCAGAAAGTGGCATTTAAAGCTGAGACCTGGCAGGTGAGAAGGAGCCAGCCATTGAGTGGGTGGAAGGCTGAGTAATCAGAGGGAGGAACATGAGGGAAATGCTGACTGGAGAGGGCCTGGGTATTTGAGGACCTGAAAGACCAGCATGGACTGAGCATGAGGGGAAAGGCGGATAACATAAGGCCTTAAAGGCTGCAGGAAGAGTTTGGATCTTATTGTTTTATTCCAAGTGCTAAAAAGAAGCTACTCATCTGGCTGCCACTCGAAGGGGCTGGAATGACCAACGGAAGCTGGAAGATTGCATTTCCTAATGCAACTTTTAGTTCTAATTTCCACTGCAATGCCACCAGAGTTCTGGCAGTGATGTGCCCTACACCTCACCTTGCCTTTTTATGCAAAGGCTGCTAAGAGTTGGGAAGAATAGCAACTTAATTTCTTAAGGTCTGCAGCGTGGACAGATTCAATCCCAGACAAACTTACAACATAGTATTTATTTCAGGTCCTCTCCTAGCACTTTTTCTGGTTATTCTGTTGTATTCTTCTCTCATCTGCACTGGTGTCCTCTGCCCACCTCTGGCTATCTAGAAATATTCCATCCCAAATAGACTGATTCATACATCCCATGTTGGGCAGAATAGTTATTCCTTCAGTGGTTTTTGAATGTCAGTAAAACAAATTAAGCCAGCCATAGAACAGATTAAAGATAACTGCATTTTAAAAAGGTGATTTTTTTGTTGTTGTTGTAGCTCAACCAAATCTCAAAATAGATTGGGACAGTGTAGCCCATTATTTGTGGGAATATACATTTAGGGAAGGAAATATAATTGCTAGCCTGAAATATTGACAATGTTAGGCCATCTTTTGGAGTTAAGGGCGGGGGGGTTAGCATAAAAGGGAGCAGTTGTGAGTTAGTGTCATTCTCAGAGCCTCCACCTATAGCTGTGTAAGACCTATTTTTTACAAAGTAGTGGATGTGGTGCCCAGGCTCTGGTAACTCAGCTGCCGTTTCTCCCTGTGAGCCAAGAGTGATAGGAGCTCCCGAGATATTGTTTCATTCATTTACTGAAAATATAATCAGGGGATTATAAATTGCCTTCAACTCTCCATCACTATCCTGTTTGGAAAAGTGGGAAGGTTGAGAGCCTGGTTTGGGAATTATTAGCAAAAGTAATGACACTGATTTGAGTGAATTACACCTAATATTCATGAATGAAATCACTATGCATGTCGATGTCAGACTTTGTATATTAAACAAATATTAAATACTTTTATTTTGCACAATTAACTATTCAGAGGGAACATTTATTGGATAGCTTTTGGTATTATGAAACTTTTCAATTACAACTTGGTATCTTAAATTTAAGAGCAGCTTGGTTTCTGATGTAATTAAAATACTTCATTTGGCTGTTTTCTTCTGAATCTTTCTATATTTTTCAAATATATTTTATTTTAGAGAAGAAATGGGTCTAAAGATAGCCTGATGGAAGAAAAATCTCAGACACCTGCAAGCAACCTGGCTGGAAAACACACAGCAAAAACAGTAAAAACTATCCAAGCTTCCCGCCTCAAGACAGAGACCTGATCATGATGAAAGGTCAAGGATGGTGTGGGAAGGTTGTGTGAGCCACTGGTTCTTCTGAAACTGTGAAATACTTTGATTCAAATCTCAGACCTGCAAGTATTTCTTCAGCATAAGAAAATACATATCTTCCGCCCCCCCCTTTTTTTTTGAGATATATCAATCTGTTACCCAGACTAGAGTGCAGTGGTGCTATCTCAGCTTAGCACAATCTCTGTTTCCTGGGTTTCAGCGATTCTCCTGCCTCACCCTACCGAGCAGTTGGGATTACAGGTGTGCACCACAACACCCAGCTAATTCTTTTTTGTTTTTGGTAGAGATAGGATTTTGCCATGTTGGCCAGGCTGCTCTCAAACTCCTGACTTTATGATCTGCCTGCCTGGGCCTCCCAAAGTGCTGGGATTATAGGCATGGTTTAACACAATAGTTATGCTTAAGGGCCTTTTTGTTTTAACTGGAATAAGGATTTTTAAACAATTCAATTGAAACCATTTTCCTTTTTGGAACAGGATGGCAGTCATTCATTTCTGAGTATCATGTGTCTGTGTCTACAACCAAGACCAGATGCATCTGATGAACGCTCTGAATTCTGGACTGCAGCTAGCCTGCTGTGCAATAGTATAAGTGGGAGGAAGTCCTCCCACCTCTGGGTTGGTTCTCAGCTAGCACCCAGGTTCAGAAGTACTGAGGCATCACTTTTAGACTGCAGATATTTTTATTCATATAAATGTTCTTTGTAATACTGTATTTTGTGGTGTTAAGTTCTACCAGTTATTTACAAACGATGTAAAAAGCTTTGTTTTTAAGTGTTGTTAATTTGCAAGTGTTCCTGTCTTGTGTTTTCAGAAGTCTAAGTGGATTTCAGTTGATCTCTCACCCAAAACCTCAAATGGCCCATCCACCTTGCTTGGCCATCTAACTCACCTGCTCTCCTCAGTGACTATTTTGGACCTTTCCTCCCCACAGATGACTTTGCAATCTACAGGGAAAATACTTACACAGGACCTCTTATATGCCCCCCTTATCACATACAGTTCTCTCCACAGCTGCCAGCAGTCCTAACATTTTTGTCTCTCCACCTGTGCTTCAGATGCCATCTCTCCCAACCTTTTCAGGATCTCTCCTCCTCCTATATTAATGTATTCAGTCATTCTCTCAACTAGATCCTTGCTACTTGGTTTCAAATTTAAGACTAAGATTAAACAAAACTATCTTTCACAACCACAAATCCCCTTCTAGCAACTATGACTTTCCTCTCACTCTTGAGCCAATTTTCTTGCAAGAAAAAATTCCAAGTCATTGCCCTCATTCATCTAATCCCTATCTTAAGCTATCTCTAATACAGATTCTTTCCCACTACTCCATTCAACCACTGTTGTCACTTAATCCCAGGGAGAATGTTGGACATTCTTTTGCTGCTTTAATGTAATCCTACTTTGTTCTTACCACTGACCATCCTTTCTAGCTCATCATGCTTTTTACCTTGCTATTAGTGAACTTTCTCAAACTTCAGACCTTAGGCCCTCTTCCTCTACCCTGTGCAGATCTCATTTATACCCATGGCCTTAAGGTTTACTTCTGTAGTTTAGACAAAAGAGTAATGTTCTACTGCAAAAAGACCACTTGTATTTCTCAAAGGTAATTCAACTGTTTAAATGCTGCTCCCCAGCTGGATCTAGGGTCATTATGTTCATCAGTGTGCAAGCTTGACACGTAGCAGTTAGGGACAACTTCACTATTATCAAGTCTAGTTGGCTCTGTCATCAAACCATAAACCACCTTATTTCACTAGTCCAAGCTGGTCATCTCTCACCTAGACAACAGTAAGCAACTTAGTTCAGCTACCTTTTCTTGCAAATCTAATTTCCCACCATGGATTTATCCTGCTTTATTTAATAAAGCCAGAGGGAGCCTGAAGTGGTCTGGCTTCTTTACCTACCTCTTCACCCTCATTTTGGAACACTCCCACCTCCCCTAATAGCCATCTTAAGAGCCTCATTAAGCACTCAATTGTAAAACAGGGTACTGAAGAGGGAAAGCAGCCAAAACTGTCACAGATGTAAGTGGACTTATGGTCATCTTTTTTCTAGCCCAAGCCTCTGTAAATGTCATTCCCTCAATTTTGCCTTGTGAAAAAATGACAAATACTTTAATCTTAACTCTGCTTTCTCAGGGTTCCCTAAGAACATCCTATCATGGAACTCATCTCACAGTGGAAGTTTTACATTTGTGATGACATTCCCTCCATTCACCTATGTTTTCAAAGGGAAGAACTGTGTTGCGCTCATCATCGTGTTCTCAGCTCCTAGTGCAGTCCTTTTAATAAATTTTTTGAATACCTGAATACACTATTTACTGTTTCCTGCAAAGTGAAGGCAAAAGATATGCCAACATTAAGTGTACAATCTAGTTGGAGAAAAAAAATACATGCATTGAGTGCAGTAAAGCACACCTGTGACCTAGAAACCCACTAGTCTAGTTCTAGCCATAATTTTTCAGTCACTGGAAGGTGTACATTTCTCTTTGGGCCAAACACAAGCTATTGTTAAGGCTATTAATTATGGTTGACAGCAGTGAATAATGGTCAGAAAAAGAACCACCCCTTGTAACTTTTTAGAAATAGCTGTTTTCTGGCAGTTTATCACTTAAAACACAAATCTCAAAGTGTATTAATATATTTATTCATGTCCTCACTGTCTTAAATGTGTATTTACGGACTCCAGCAGGCAATTATGGCAGTACTCCTCAGACTCCTCGAAATTTTAAATGATCCAAGCAACTCTTGTGAAGATCAAATTTTCAAAATCCTCACCAAGGACGTCCTAAGAGAAAAAATAAAGTACTCAATTCGATAGCAAATATTTTTGTGTTACATTTTCATCAAGAACTTGGTAATTAATATGCCTGCGATTTGACAAGTTTTTTAAAAACTCAATTACTACACACAGAAACAAATCTTAAGAGATCGAGAATAACACTACTATGAATATTTATTTCCCTGGGCTTCTCAGGAAGTATCAGCAAAACCTTCCCGAAAATAAGCTGTGGAGGTTATCCCATTTGTTAACTTCACCTTAGCTACAGACAGCAACAGTACGAATGAACCAATAACGTTAATACTCCCTAGAGAAAGCACCCATTTAAAAAGTGATAAAAACTCCCACTACAAAGTGCTTTATGATAGATCACTCTACCTTTAGGTCACCTTTGTGTTCCCAGATGGTATTCAGCTAGCAGCAGTCTACACTTCAGGCATCCATCTTACACCTGAACAAAAATTAAAACTGGTTGAGAGAAACCATACGCTTACGGCCCGCAGGGTCAAGATCACGCGTGTAAACGTAAAAGCATTAACTGTTACTTATGCAGCTCCTACACCAAAGATATCAAATTTAAGGGCAGGAAAAGGCTGCAAAGCGTTTAATTTACGCCTTTTTTGACACCACATTCACTAGTTTCCAAAGTGAATGGGCAACACAAAGGCTACCTGACACTGCGTGAAGCTTTTATGGCATAAGGTTACTGACTGGCTGACGGTAATCTGATAACAGCCTAAAAACGAACAATACATTTCGGAGAAATTTTCTCACAATTTAAAACCTGACTTAGTAATGAAAACTGAAATGCAATGCGTTTTAGATGGCGACTGGTCTTGCACCAAAGTGAAAACTCACCCGCAGGGTAGGTGATCACTCCCGCCGAGTACTGCACTTGGAAACAGCTGTAACCAGGCACTCTGCTTTTAAGCTATTTTGCACTGGGACGGGGCAGGCATAATGGCAGTTATCCGGCAAGGCCTTTTTACTAACGAAAATCAAACCTCGCTTATATGAAGAATTCCACAGCATACCGTCGATGATCTAAACTCAAATCCATTAAGCTCCCCGTTTCCAAGCAAGGGGATGCGGAAACGGAAACGCAGGCCTGAGGCCGCCTAAGGCGCTCCTGAGATCCCACCAAAGCGTAGTCAAGGCCAGGCCGCTGCCCTCCACGCGTTCACCGCCCGGGACACTTCGGACACGGTCCAGCTGCCGCAGACGCCTCACCAGGCTCAGGGTGGCCGCGTTACCCCGCGCGGCGCCCCAGCGTGGGAGGCCACCCGGCCACAGCCACGCGCCATTCAGGAGGCCCCAGCACAGAACCACACCAGCATGGCATCAAAGCGAAGAAAGATCGCGCTGTCTTCCCACAATGCTTTTCTACAAGTGGAAGGACCCACTGTCCAAGGGCGCGGGGGGAAAAGCGGACTGTACCATCGGCCGCTGCACTCCCGCGAAACGCCGTCGTGTGGCCAGAGGGAGAAGTGCCAGTAAGGGACCGAGGGACGTGTCACCAAGGGAAAGAGGGCCCGGGAGCCTGGGTTCTCAGCCCGAGTCAGCTCTGCGGTTGTGTGACCAGTTGTGTCCATGGAGGAGGTTTTATCAAGTGTGGGATCCGGATTCCTCATCCCACCGCCCCCGCCAGGGTCAAGAGCATATGGTCAGTGCTGGCAGCTGAAGGAGCCCAAAGGACTTTAGACCACATGTTTTGGGACCCGACAGAATACATGTCTCCATCTGAGGAAGAGTAGGGTCATTCATTCAAAAGATATTTAGTAAGGACTTACTGTGCTCCAGGCCCCAGCCTGAGTACCTGTGAAGCAGGTGTGGGTGAGCCAGGCAAGGTTCCTGTGGTACATCCTGCTTGAGTGAGAAGGTTACTGACCAGGTGAGTCGGGATGCTGAAATTCCACAGTGTAAGTGCCAGGAGGGCTGCAAAAAAGCGTCATTCCATAGAGCTGTGCTGTCCAATGGAAATACTGTGAGTCATGAATGTAATTTAAAATTTTCCAATTGCCACATCAAATGTAAAAAGAAGTCCGGGCACGGTGGCTCATGCCTGTAATCCCAGCACTTTGGGAGGCTGAGGTGGGTGATCACCTGAGGTCAGGAGTTCGAGACCAGCCTGGCCAAAATGTCGAAACCCTGTCTCTACTAAAATACAAAAATTAGCCGGGCATGGCGGCGGGCGCCTATCATCCCAGCTACTTGGGAAGCTGAGGCGGGAGAATTGCAACTTGAACCCGGAAGGCAGAGGCTGCAGCGAGCCAAGATCTCACCACTTCGCTCCAGCCTGGATGAAAGAGTGAAACTCTGTCTCAAAAAAAAAGTAAAAACAAACAGGTCAAATTAATTTTCATAATAACCCAACACATGTTGAATATTTCAACAGGCAATAAATATGGAATTATTAATAAGGTATTTTGCATTCTTTTATTTCAACTAAGTCATTAAAAATCCGTTGTATATTTTCATACTTCCAGCTATCTCGGTTCAGACAAGACACATTTCAAGTGCTCAGTAGCTCGTGGGGCTCGGGATATGAAGACTGGAGGTGAACTCTGAGCAGATGTGTGAGGGCGGTTATGCAAGATCTAGGGACAGCAGGCCTTGGCCAGTGTGACTGGAGTAGAGTAAGGAGTGCAGAGTGACAAGATGCAGCTGGAGAGCTAGGCAGGAGGAAGGCACTTAGGGCCTTATCACATAGGGTAAGGTATTGGGATTTTATGCTGAAATCTTAGAGTTGATAACACAAAAATAAACAAGGGTTTGTTAACTGGCTATTTTTTTTTTTTTTGTCCTGATAACCATAACTCCTTAAAGGGACAGGAATGGCCGCAAGACAAGCTGCATGATAACTAGGTCTCCGTGTTTCTGTAAGTCCTATCAGAGATTCATCCGGAGGCCAGTCTTAGGACCTTTCGTTGTTTCTTTGAAGCCTACTGCTATAAAAGAAAGAAGGAAAGAGAAGAAAAAGAGCTTATCTCCGAAGTCATCAAGTTATGTGTATTAAATACAGCTTTTTGTATCTCAGTCATACTTCAATAAAGTGGTTTAAAAAGAAAAAAGAAAATTCAGGCTCACAGCCCAGTGGTCATCACCCAGGGACTAGCATGAATGATAACAACATCAATCTGGGGACAATGACTGTACAGAAATAGCAAATGTGTAATTATTACAAGAAGGTAAGTAACCCCAGAGTTCATTAGGAAGTCACTGTAACATCTGGGGCAAAAGAAAGGTTGGGAAAGGAAGGCAGTATCACCAAGACTATTCTTTAAAGACAGTGAAAGGTACAGTGTGGGGATTATATAACATGCCTTAGTCTTGCCTTCTTGCTAGGGAAAGTTGGTGATATGGTTTGGCTGTGTCACCCAAATCTCATCTTGAATTGTGGTTCCCATAATCCCCACGTGTTGTGGGAGGGACCCGGTGGGAGGTAATTGAATTGTGGGGGTGGTTACCTTCTTGCTGTTTTTGTGATAGTGAGTGAGTTCTCACGAGATCTCACGAGATCTTTACTAGGCACTTCTCCTTCCTGATGCCAAGTGAAAAAGGATGTGTTTGCCTCGCTTTCCCCTATGATTGTAAGTTTTGTGAGGCCTCCCCAGCCATGCTGAACTGTAAGTCAATTAAGCCTTTTTCTTTTATAAATTATCCAGTCTTGGATATGTCTTTATTGACGGCGTGAGAATGTACTAATGCAGTGAGAGAGAGGAAATTTTCTTGGACTGGGGTAGCCAGCATATCTAGGTTTCTATCTACCTCTGACACTTGTTCCCTTAGGTACATGACCACATTTGTGAGCCTGAGTTTCCTCATTTCAAGTGTAATAACTACACACCTGTATTAAATAGGTTAAAGAATTAAGAAAGGTTTGTGGAATCACGTAGCATTGTGTGTGATACATAATGACATCCAATAAATGACTCAAATGAGCCAGGCTTTTCCTCTCTTTCACCCCTACTGCAAATATGGAGCTTTCTTGGATTGAGTTCTTATGAAAGGGGGAAACATGCTGTTTTTCTTTTAATGGATTCACATTATTGCTCCCACTTTCCTCTTTCCTCTTCTTCCCTTTGTATCTGTTCCCTAAACTTCCCGAAAATAGGCAGAGGAAAGGCATTTGTTCCAATTGTTAGATGAGTGTTGGATATTAGGAAATCAATTCAAAATCCTTCCTCTCCCCTGTCTGGTTCAACCTCCCAAATCCTGGTACAGAAAACCCAATTATTAAGTACAGGCAAGCAGACAGGACGTGAGAAGAAGTTAGGGGATATTTTCTACCTAGTCCCTGCTTCACCCTTGCCTGCTGGGCTGAAGCACTGTGTAAGATGTTCAAGCCACACAGTGGTTGTGCAGACATGAAGCAACCTCGGTTTCCTTATGTGGTAGGTAGAATAATAATCTCTCCCTGCAAGATATTCGTGTCCTAATCCCCAGAAACTGTGAATATGGTGCATTACATAGCAGAAGGGGGTTTGCATATCTGATTAATATAAGGAACCTTGATATAGGGGGATAAAGATGGAAGAAGGCAGCAAAAGAGTTAGAGATTTGGCAGAGGGGAAGGCAGGAGAAATATACATGAGAAGGATTCATCCCTTCATTGCTGGCTTTGAAAATGTAAGAGGGGGCTGCAAGCCAAGAATATGGGCACCCTCTAGAAACTGGGAATTACCCTCAGCTGACAGCAAAGAAGCAGGGACTTCTGTCCTACAGAGCTGTGAGATAATAAATTTATGTTGTTTTAAGCTGCTAAATTTGTGTTAATTTGTTATGGTAGCAAGAGAAACCTAATATACCCTGTAAGAGGTAGAGAGTAAGTGAGCTTTATTTGTTAATCCACCATTTCTTTTCCCATCTTGATTTTCTCATTAGGAGTGGAAATGAGATTTTGCAGACAAACTTATGCACATTTCGTTTTAAAGTAATTAATCCATATGAAGCTGACTTTTGCTTATAGTGAGTGCTGGGAAAACCAGCTGTTCTAAGATTGTTTATCAATAGCCCGTCCTTTCTACACAGATCTACCATGCAACCATCATCATAGATCAGGGTTTTTTTTTTTTTCTTTTTGCATGGATGTACCTTTGTGCTGTCTATTCTGTCCTACTGGTCTATTTGTTTCTCCTGTGTCAATATTACACTGTCTCAGTTGCTATATTTGTATAATGTCTTGATATTTGCAATGGCAGACACCCTGCCCTCCCACATCCATATCACCACCCAGACACCATCATCTTTTCCAGGGAAGTCTTGGCTATTATTGTTCCTTTCTCTTGCACATATAAAGCTCAATGAATTGAATTGGCCCACTTGTGCTTTGACTTGGACCCCTCCTACCTTTTGTTAGTCATTGTTTGATTGTTTGTCTTCACAATTATACTGCTAAAGCCATATTTCATCATCTTTTCACTGAACTTTACAATCTAAAGATTGTTTTTATTGGAATTGCAATGAATCCATGAAAAATTGAAGGGGAGTCAACATCTACATGCAGATGGTATGTGTGATAGTTGATTTTATGTATCAACTCTGGATCACAGGATCCTCAGCTATCTAGCTAAACATTATTTCTGGGTGTGTCTTTGAAGATGTTTCCAGAAGAGATTAGCATCTGAATCAATAAACTGAGTAAAGGAGATTTTCTTCCTCAATGTGGATGACATCACTTAATCATTTGAGGGCCTGAGTAGAACAAAAAAAGGGAGAAAGGAAGGATTCGCTTCCTTTTTGTCTGACTCTATCAGCTGAAACATTGATCTTCTCCCCTTAATTCTCCTGGTTCTCAGACCTTTGGAATCTATACCACCTGCTCTCTGGCTATTGGGCCTCTACACCACCTGCTCCACTGGCCTTGGGCCTCTAGCTTGGAGACAGCATCTTAGGACTTCTCAGCTTCCATAATTGCATGAGCCAATACCTTATAATAAATCTGTGTGTGTGTGTAAACACATGTACACATATGTATACACATGTTTAGAATTATATTGTGAAGTTCAATGAAAAGCCCTGTTGGGATTTTTATTGGAATTACATTGAATCCATGATAAATTGAGGGAGAGTTGACATCTATATGAAGATGGTATGTGTGACAGTTTATGTGTCAATCTGTCTTATGTATACGCTCATGTATAAATATGTGTACATGTGTATGCCCCCTCCCACACACACACAAAGGGACTTCAAGAAATTTGCGGGAAAGTGTAATAAAAGGATAAAAATAAAAAATATAAATTTTGTTTCTTTTTTTTTTTTCTTTTTTTTGAGACGGAGTTTCACTCATGTTACCCAGGCTGGAGTGCAATGGCGCGATCTCAGCTCACCGCAACCTCCGCCTCCTGGGTTCAGGCAATTCTC